CTCTACGACACACGTCCCGACATTACGCAAGTCCTTTGCCTTCAAATCCTTAGAGCACAATCCGTCTCCGGTATTTACAATCACTCGGACGATCATTTGATACGGAAAAGGGAAAAGGGGAGAAGGGGAGGAAGAGAGACAGGGAGAGACAAAGAGACACAGAGAGTTAAACAGAGAGAGGCTTGGAGATAAAGAGAGAGAGGGGGGGGAGAGAGAGACTCAATGAGAGAGAGAGAGAGAGAGAGAGAGAGACGAAAAGCGAAAACTGGGTCAGTGGGTGGTGAATTAGGGAAGGGTTTGGCAGTGAGAGAGTGTGTGTGTGTGTGTGTGTGTGTGTGTGTGTGTGTGTGTGAGAGAGAGAGAGAGAGAGAGGGAGAGAGAGAGTGAAAGAGAGAGAGAGTGGGAGAGAGAGAGTGAGAGAGAGAGAGAGACTCGGGGAGAAAGAGAGAAAAGAGACACAGAGAGAGAGCAAAACTTACTCAGAGAGAAAGAAAGACACTCAGAGAGAGAGAGAGAGAGAGAGAGAGAGAGAGACAGAGAGAGAGACAGAGAGAGACAGAGAGAGAGAGGGAGAGAGAGAGCGAGACTCACTCAGAGAGAAAGAAAGACACTCAGAGATAGAGAGAGAAAGAGAGACACTCAGAGATAGAGAGAGAGCTTATGAAAACAGTGGACAGTCTAATGAAATCTCGTTAACAACAGGGTCGGGTGTTTTCAAATCGTTTTAAAATTCCTCCTCTTTAGACGGCGCTTTATCTTCCCCGGGTAAAAGAGTCGTCTCCTGGGTGTCATCTAAGATAATTGCGCGCACCCGGGTCTCGCTATACAGGGGCGCTGCCAGCCAGGGGACGCTACTTGATGGCGCCGGGCAAACAGTCTAGAGGTGGGCAAAATCCGGAAAAATTATCCGTTTAACCGGATAAGTCTCAAAGAAACATTATCCGAATTCAGACTTTCAACTCTCTTTCCTGGCCCGTTTGCCGAAGTGGTGGGTGCACCCATTTGTTGAAGAGATGCTAACCCGTTTGTCCAAAATTGGTTCTAACCCATTTGCCGAAGCGGTTCATGACATATTATTATTTGCCGAAGAGGTGCACTAACGTATTATCCAGATTTTGCTAAAGCGACGCATTGCCCAGCCCTAGCAAACACAAGATGATGCAGCTCGCTTGCATGCACGGCCGGCACGCCTCATCACCGGCACCAACACGGGAGCTTCGCATTGTTTGGACGTTTCGTGGAAGGTTTGTTTGTTTTAGTAGAGGTTTTACGGCGCTCGCAACTACATAAGGTCATAATTATGAGCTCCTGAAGATTAGAGGTGTTACAAGAGATGAACAAAAAGAAAAAGAAGGAGGAAAGATAAGGACGATAGATGTTTGATATGAATGAAGGAGCAAACCACACCAGAGCACCCGCCAACCACTCACGGTCAGTGATTGAATTCACGTCTTTTGCATGCAATAGTGAAGCAACCAACCACTGCGCCACAGATGCCGATAACAGAATTTGAACACGTATGTACATTTGTACATGTAAGTTAAAAAGGAAAAACAGGTGTTATATCTTAAACTACTTAAATTAAATGGGCCTAATTCACCCCTTCCCCTAATTTACTAATGAAACAGTCATAACGCCACGCCACCATCTCAACTCCTCTCATCCCCCTTAAGAGAGCAGTGAGACTATTTTTTGTTGTTGTTCGTGTGTGTGTGTGTGTGTGTGTGTGTG